ATACATTTATGACCTCAATTTATGATCCATTAATTTTTATGATGCAAACAAACCTTATCAGCAACAAGCAGATTTGCATAGACAACACTTTCTGTTATTGTGTAATGGTTTTATTTTTAATGGGAATCAGGTTTCCCGTGCAAAACTTTGATGAGCTTGGAATTTATATGGTTTTACTACAAGTAACACAATACATGTTAAATTACTACAAATGCATCCACATTACTACCCATAGTGCTGAGTAGTATATTGATGCGAGAGGTTATCTGGTTCCATGCATTTGTTCTGTGGCCTATAAAATATTCAAAGCACTTTCATACTGTCATTTACAGTTTTGTACTGATGCAAAGTATTTGCCACATTCAGGTTAGGCCATGTTCATTAGAAAGGGCTATTGATGGACATTAAATACAATGACATTGTTCATTGTTAGGTGTATGTCATGATACCTGATGCTTGATCTAATGTTAATCAAATAAACATTTCTGTTTTCATCTCCGTTTTCCATTTTGAAAAAAAAAATTAATTGAAAGAAGAACAGCTACTTTTAGAAACATCTGTAACCCTTTCTCTGGTTATTGCTGATGAGAGGTCTTCTGGTTACAGATTTGACACTGTTGTAATCTTCACGAGTTGATACCGACTGCCGAGGTGGTAATTTGTGGCACTGCTGTGCTTGCAGTCAAATATAGAAAGTTACTTGGACACATCGGCACAGTGCAAAATCTCACTATGCACAAAAAGAAGGTGCTGGTCCCTCTGAGAGATAAAGATCGCATGATGCAATATTTCGTGAACAGGTGTTGTTCCTGCACGCGGCTGCATGTCACTTTTGGATGGGACAGAGGAGGAGCTCAAACTATAGATTGCAAACAGCAGAGCAAAAACAGACTAGTGGTGAAAGCTTCACTATGGCCTTAGATAATCTTAGACAGGCAATAATCTGTAGGAGTTAGTGTATAAACACATACACGCATGCTTTGGTTGAGATCATATGACATTGAGCAAACGGCTTACATACGCACAGGATTGACACCTCATTGTAAGTGAATTGGAACGTGTGCCCTAGTAACTATACCAGTGGCCTTCCAGTTTTGGAGGGGGGTCTGATGCTGAAGTAGCAACTGCGGCTGTAAGCCTAAGATTTCAGTAGAAATCTGATAGGCAGATGAATGACCTCCACATAACTGAGATGTCTGTAAATGCTCTGCAGCTGTTGCCCATATATGCTTCTTTCTCACAGTAACAATCAAACCAGATGATTTTTAATATTTCATTAGATACTCACAATGTCTGTTTAGTACAAAAATAAGCCACTTAAGGGCCTACAGTGATTTTACCAGGTAAGTGCACTGTGCCTAAAAAATCACTTTAACACACTGAACTGAGTATCTTTTTATAAATTCCAATACCAATATAATAAAATACACCAAAGATCAATCATTAATAATCAGAGAAAAACATTAAATGACACAAAAAAAGTAATGTAGGGAGTTTGTGACTGCTAAGCAATATAGCAGCAATGCAGCATTTTACCAGCAACTTTAAAACACAGCTCATACAGTCAAAATGTAGAGTTAGAACTGTCCATTTTCAGAAGATAATTTATGAAGTACACATCAGACCATTTGTTTTGGTTTAACTCCTTTGTGCTTCCTCCATAAGCATTATCTTTACATCAACATTTAACGTTATCTGAGGGCTGTAACTTGTTTGTCCTTTCCTTGTATGTTTCAAGAGAACTTTTAGGTAGCTTATCTGAAACTATTGAGGCAAGCTGTCGTTTGTGTCAGAAGTAACAAGCATGGATAATCTTCTCTTTGGTTGTGTCCTAAATAAGGGCTTATTTATCAGAGTTGTTTAATACTCATCTAAGTGTGCAGAGGCAGTTTTTCTTACAGCCGAACATATCTTACAAAGATCAGAAGATTTAGAAATTAATATTTTTATTAAAGTATTTAGTTTGGAATTTAAGAAAAAAAGTTTTAAGGATGGGTTAATCCAGGGCTGTCCAAACTCGGTCCTGGAGGGCTGGTGTTCTGCAGAGTTTAGCTCCAACCCTAATTAAACACACCTGAACCAGCTAATCAAGCTCTTACTAGGCATAGAAACTTCCAGTCAGGTGTGTTGAGGCAAGTTGGAGCTAAACTCTGCAGGACACTGGCCCTTACACACACACACACACACACACACACACAAACTCACACTGACTCAGCAATGAAGCTAAGCCTGGGCCGCTGATTTCCTAGGTTGTGTGACGGGTTTGCTTACTACTGGGAAAAGAGATGAGCATGCTAAGGTTGTTACACATGTTCCTGCCGTTGGAAAGCACTTCTATCCTTTTCAATATCAAGCATACATTCCTCACCTCGTAACAACTCAGAGCCACTCTATTTCATGTGCTATGACTGAAGAACGAAGAATGTGACAAATCTGCTCTGACCTCATTGGTGAAGTAGCAGTGGAGATCACAAGCATGCTTTGCAATTCACCGTTGTGACATTTTTTGCCTTGCCGTTCCAGACTGTGCACTTGGAAGCCATCCTGACAGCGCTGTGAGACAGACTCGGCTCTACGGGGGGCGTGGCCCACCCAATCATGAGCTTGGCCCACCCTGGGCTGACCACAAGTTTGGAGGAATGCAAACATATTTCAGTTTAACCTCGTTTAAATTTACAACAGAATAGTTCAAATATGGGCATTTTAAAAACAATCAGCAATGATTAGTTATAAACATAAGCTTATTCAATTTTTCAATTTTATTTATATTTTTATTGATACTTTTATTGACAGGTTGGCAGAGTTTAAGAAGGCACTGTAAATCTGCAAATATATACACGTATCAAAAAATATTTTGATGCTGTATGAAGTGATTTGAATCAAATTTATAAGTTATCTATAACTTTATCATTATTGTTATTTGCATTAACAACAAGGACCATATATAAAAACACATTTAACTTAAAGGGATAGTTCACCCAAAAAAAGTAATTAGCCTTTATTAACCCCCTGGATTAATTATTAAGGCCTTTATTAACCCCCTGGAGCTGTGTGGACTGGAGTACTTTTATGATGGATGGATGCGCTTTTTTGGGGCTTCAAAATCTCGACCCCCATTCACTGCCATTATAAAGCTTGGAAGAGCCAAGGCAATTATTAATATAACTCCAATTGTATTCGTCTGAAAGAAGAAAGTTATATACACCTATAGGATGGCTTTAGGGTGAGTAAATCATGGGGTAATTTTCATTTTTGGGTTAACCATCCCATATATGTGTTTTATTTCTGCATGACAACACAGTGCTGGGTCAAAAACTGAAGCTGGTCATTGGACCATTGTTTTAAGCAATAATGTGAACAAGTAAAGTTCCCCTATCCCTTTAATCTTTTATTAAATGCACAATTAGAATTTATCCACTAAATTTAGAACTTGTCACTAAGATAATCATTAGAAATCACTTCACACTCTCCTCTTCAAAAGTACGAGTCTGAATAAAAGTAAAATATTAGAATCATGAAAGCGTTCTGGTTAGAACTGACTTTTAAATGACATGGCAGCTTTACATGGTAAATAATTAGAGGGTTGGGCCAAGGGCAAAAACACAAAATGTCTTTAGATCGCAAATATGCGGTAGCAATGACCCAAATTCAACATATCCTCACTTAAATTCTCTTTAAGCCTTAGAAAAAATGAAATCAATTCACTGCTAAGAAATTTTAAAGACAAACCAATTGCTTTCTACCTCCTTGATATTCACTATACAATATAGATGGCAATGAGGTTGGGGGCAATAGTAACGTTTTTTTAAATAAAAATCATTATTTAATTTAATTAAAATTCAGATCAAATGTGCAATGAACATTATGTCATCAAAGTATGAATCTCCAGACTATAATCTAATCAATATAAAATAATTTTCTTTTATAATGTTACTTATAATGTAATATATTATTTTGCTTTAAACACATACTACTCTTGAAAGATTACAAAGTTGTTGTAAAAGTGTTGCAATTATCCCAGCCTGGTCTCATGTTTATACGTAGGTATTAATACGTAACATTTACAAGCACAAAACGTACTTTTGTACGTTTTTATTAATGCTAAAACGTACAATTTAGACGTATTTCAACGTTTAAAACGTACAAATCGCTACGTATTTTTAGCTACAAAACGTAAAAATATTTACGTATCTTTTATATCAAGATGTTCGTATCAATGCACTTTTTTCATTTTATCAATAAGCGATTTAGATTTTTAGACCCCTTAACCTACCTCCAAACCTAAACCTACCCATTTCAT